CCTCTGTGGCCTAAGCACTGCTTCATTCTACTAAGTCAGTAAATCTGAGTCCACCTCTTACCTGCTGGGTCAAATATCCAACAGTATCATAGACACCACCCCAGTCCCCTAACCCTGTTAAACAAGTCAGATCTGGTAACCCAAAGGGCCTTATATTTCATTACTTTTTCTCCCTCCCTCTTTCTTTCTACTTGGTTTCCAGGGTTCCTTCATCATTCCCGAGAAGGGGTTTTCCCTCTCCCTCTTCAGGAATTTGTTTTTTCCTTCCTTTGGCCATACCCACAGCAGCCCCAATGCCAGCCCCTATACTACCCCCAGCCACTGTGGCACCCACAGTGGACCCTGTGACCACAGCTGCAGCCTCCATAGTCAAAGTAGTGGCTGCCACACCAACTGCCATTACACCACCAGTTGCAACCGCCACCAAACTAGCCCCCACAAGTCCACCCACGGCAGCAGTACAGCCACAGAAACGTTTTTTATAGGATTTATAGAAGTCATTAATTCTCTTCTCAATCTGTGTCTCAAACTTGTTCATGATTTGGTTCTTCCCTGGACTCTTCAAATTTTCTTTGACATGATTTAAGATGGTATCTTTCTTAGTTGAGAGGCGTGTCCACATGACTCTAGGAACAGTCTTCAAACAATCCGACATGGACTTTGCGGAAGAATCCTGAAAGTGTGGAAGAGGAAGCTGTGACTGCTGGCTGAGCACCCAGGGACTCTCTCCCTGAGCCCAAGCCTTTGCTATTCAGATCCCTTTGATTCTGAGAATTCAGGCAACCTTCACCATAGTCCCCCTACCAGTCCATATGAACTCAACTATGCTTTAAAAAAAAAAAGTTTTATTTTTGCCTATATATATATATAGATATATATGTGTGTGTATGTATATATTTATGTATGTATGCATGTATATGTATATGTGTATATCTATACCTATCTATATCACCTTTTATTTTTTTACAAATATGTCCCTCCCCTGGCACCCCACACATTAATTTCATCAGACAGTATATGCAACATTGTACACCCATACTTCCCAATGTCTTCAGTGAAAGGTGGAAGCTGAGTTTGGTCATTACAACTACAGACAAGAATTCAGGCTGGGTGGGTGGAAACCTCTGACTTTGTTTCCATAGCCTGCCTTTGCTTCTGACTCAAATTCATTTGAAGCTAGGCCAGGGAGCATATTGGAAAATGTGTTAAATTGTCTGAACCTGAAGCTAGATAATTATCTAATAATTAATCTAGATATTAATTATAATTACTAATTATAATTAACAGAAAGCTTTGATTCCCCTTCCATAGGGTTCAAAAATAAAGATCTAGTTTTTAAAACTTTAGCTTTAAAAGTCCTCTTGGCTTCTGTCACTTGGTTATAGTGGCTAGTCAACAACCAGGATTAAAGAGCTAATAGCCAGGCATTATGAGGCAGAAGATTTAACCACTACCCTAGTAGACTTAACTTGAAATGGCTGAGCTGGCTCTGAAGAGATGAGGTTGCCAGGGGAGATTGGAAACCTAGTGAAGGAGTGCCCAGAGGGAGGAACTCTGACTCAGTGAACCCAGGGGAAATCACCAGGGGATATCAGGGATCACTTTGAATAAATATAGAGGGGCTACTAACTACCTCTGATGCTCTAGGACCCTGATGTCCCTGGTGAGTTCATGTATGGTAATAATAATGTACATGCTCACTCAGGTGAGCATATGGTGGTGTGTGTGTATATAGGATAAAATACTCTACATTCATGGAGGAAATGTTCTATTACAAATCTGCCTACTCTGCTATTCCATTAAACACCTTTGCTTTGAATTAATTGTAAACCCTGGATAACTAGGGAAAAAGCAGAAGTATCAGTGGGAATTTATGAGTGGTTGTGAGTGGATGTGAACCCACAGAGTGTCTTGAACCTAGGGTAGTCCTTCTGGGTAGCTCATCCATGAGAGAGACAATAAAAAGCCTGAGGGCTCACCTGTTCCTTCACAAAGTCCTCCAACTCTTGTTGATAATCTTCAATCAACCTCTCATCTTGGAGTAGAGTAACCACCTGTCCAAAGAGAAGACGACCCCTTATCATGTTATCCTTCACCCTATTCGTTTTGGAATTCTGTCCCAAGCCTCTCACCCACCTCCTCTTACTACTTAATCCTAACCCAACCCCATGTTCCCTTGAAGACAGATGCTCTGACTCCCTGGACCTGGTTCTCTACCCAGGACTAGCATCCTTTCCAAGACTATTAGCCAGGACTTTACCGACACATACGAGGATGAATATCCAAATTCTTTTGTCTGTAATAGGTTGAAGAGTGTCTGCAGACAAATTCAAAGGGATAATGAGGGATCACAAGAGAATGGACAGCTAGGTGAAAGATTCATGGAAGTTAGGGAAGTTGCTTGTACCTTGATGTTCTCAGCTAATTCCTCCCCAGTGAGAATATGTCCATCTGAGTGCCTTTTCACATGCTGGGTGGTTGAATTGCAAACATCAGTGATGAAGTCATGCAGATAGCGAGAGAAATCTGGATCCATGTCTGAGGAAGAGAAGATCTGTGATCCTGAGAGATCTGAGTAGTGGAGGGGCAGGGTGGCTGGAGTTTAGAAGGGAAGTGGGATGGTGGAGGGGCCAAGATCAGTTACACTCTGAGAAGGGATTATAGGGACTTCTGGATAGAGGGACAGTCACCTTCTGGATTTCCACTGCTGCTAATTGCTACTTTTTTCCCAGGAAATGGCAAGAGATAGCAGCAGGCTTGTTCACTCTTAAGAATCTTCTGAATTCTGGGATACCTGTCAGAAATTTTCTGAGGAGACAGCAAGACCTCAGGGATGGGCTCCATGCTTCAGGTGGCAGCTTCTTTCTCCCCTCCAATATTCCTGTGGCCATCTCCCACTTTGAATGTCCACACTCCAGTATTACCTTTCTTTCCTCCCTGAACCCAGGCCTCATGTCCTTCTTTCCCACCACCCCCCAAACAGTTGCCAAATTGATATTCTTAAAGCATAAGTTCTATAAGTCTGCTCAAGGAGCTTCATCAGCTTTTTATTGCTTCTGGAATTAAATATAACTCATTTGGTATTTACAGTCCCCCATCACAATCTCCAGCCTACCTTTCTAAGTTCTGTACATTGCTGCTCTTCATGCACTCTGTGACCTAGACAAACTGACCTGCTGCTGGCTGCTCCCTGAACTTGCCATGCCTTTCCCTCCTTATTCCCACCTCAAATGGCTCCTGCTAAATGAAGCCTTTTCTGAGTCTCCTCATTTTCTAGTG